CCCCCCCACCCTCTCGACTTTTTGTGCCTTTGATGTTCCTCCACTCTGTGAAGCTCGAAGTCAACTAAAGGGTAAATGATAACTATCATAAAGCCTGACATTTGATATTAATTTTCAAAACTGAACAGAATAAAAAGTTACGAAATACATATGTTTGAGAGATTAAAAATTAATTTCTAATATACTTATTAACCATCGATCTATCAGTCAATAATCAAAATCTGGCTTTGATGCATTACAACCAATTCTTTTTAAGTGGAATTCTTAAAACTCTTTAATTATAATACGATACTGGTAACAATGGATATATTACTTATAAAATTTTAAATCAGTTTACATGAAACGAAGCATAGTGCAACTCATCTAGGTCACCTCTCGAGGTGGCTTAGCCAATGAGAATAAATGAGTAAATAGCACCTTTTGTGGTTCTGACTCCAAAGGTGGTCAAATATTTTAGTCATATGCGTAATTTAATTACCAGCTGGCAGAATAGGTAAGGAGCATCAGTTTTATCATTTCCTGAGATAAACAAGAATGCAGTAGAGCTGAACACGAGGCAAGCTCTAATCGTTCCTTAATATGGCCAGTAAAGAGGCAATAAAATACCCCCAACAGACTTGATCGAACATGTCCGCAACAATTAATCAAAATTGTATTCAAATGGAATCAACACATTACCACCCATCCACGTTCATTAACTTGCTGGGCCTTCTTCTCCCTCCCATGTTCCTCCCTAACTCCCCCCCCCCACACACACACGCACGCACACACACACCCTAATATAACTTTGAGCATAGTTGAGCATATTTGAGTGCGAGGGTGTCAGTTAAAGGTAAGCGCCTAACACAATGTTGATGTGCCAGCACCTGGTTGTACGTTCATTCGCAAATAGACAATTCGGCATAAATCATCCACCAGGGTTGAGCGAACTCCCCTCCCTACATCCATCTAATAACCCCCCCCCCACCTCCCTCCCTCCCTCGCACCCCATCTAACTTCTATAGTGGACACAAGTGTAGTAAATTAAAAATGACATTGTTATTTTTATTCAGGTGCTGTTGGCTGAATCGGGTTTAAACAAGTTCGATGCTGTTGTGATGACGACGCTTAACTAGAATCATTATTACCACAAACACAATAGGTCTTCCTCACCTCGGTGAAATTGATGTCAATTTTCTTGGTCCTCTAAGAGTATCGCTTAAACAGGTTATAAGTTATGAAGAGATGAAAGACGTTTTGACTCCGTAGACGTCTTTTAATTTACACGGAATCCGCCCTCAGATTTACACTAAGATGCTATCGTCTTATCTCTCAATTGACATAGAATTAATTTCATGACAGAACATATTTTTTTCCGATTTGCTAATTAGTCTTTCCAATCCACTGGTATAATCTAGGATTCAGTGGTGTGTCAACCAGGATTTGGGTTATATAAGGTCATTACATCTCTATCAATTCGCCGGAAAATTGAGGTCACAAATTCAAGTGACTTCTGGATTAACTTGGTTGCTTAATTACCCAAGGAAAAAGATTGCAATCCTACTAATTCAATTTAAGGTTTATCAAATTTTACTTTTTCCTTACGGTTAAGGTTGAGGAAGATGGTTTATTCGAACGTACCATTCACTTATTAATCTCAAGGCTACCATGGATTTCGCCTTGTTCCCTCAACTCTTTTAGATTCAGGTTTTAGACGAACACTGCATTCAGAATAAATATAAGATTTCCAATACGGAAGATGACTGATAAAAAGTATTTATATCAAATGGCAGGCTTTTTGATAGTTAACATTAGCCCTTTAGTTGACTTAAGGCTTCACAGAGGGGAAGGAACATCAAAGTGAAAAAAATCGAAAGGGGGGAGGACAGAAGAGTGTTTCAAAGATTTAAAGGAGACAGACACAAAGGTAGAAAAAGCTGAGGTGAGTACTATGGAAGTGGTAGAATATGACATTTAGTGGGACCATTGTAGTTTGAGGTTAGAAGTCAACTTCCGGTTAATAGACTTTTCGCCCTATGAGTATACGTTGCCCAGAGTGCATCACGTGGAGGTAAGTCTGTCGCACACCTCGAATGACACAAAGTCATTGAAGACCCATGGAAAATGTGTCTCCGAAAGAGGAATTCACTCCCACATAGACCAGCTGTAATAGCGGGTATCGTCATTTGCCAAAGAGTACACCTCGTGATGGTGAACAGTCCAGATCAAAGATCGAGGACGATTTCGTTTAACACTCGAGCAAAACCGCCGGAAGTATTCATAGACTCCGTTGACTATCACAAGGTGAATGTTGACGAAATAAGAGTAGTTCGGAAAGCAGCTTGGTGGATGATGCTGCGGCAGTACAGCAAACGGGACAAATAAATACTCAAGTTTTGACAGAAAGTTCCACGCTGAAATGTTGCCGGACAGTTGCTGAAGTATATGTTTAACATGACAAAAGGCGATATAACCGCTAAACTTGTATTGAATTCCCAAGTATCGAAGTTTTGAATATCCAACATATTCCAAGTAATGAATTCACGACATCACTAATGGTACTTTTCTTTGTTTTCGAGACTACCGGTTCGTCCATATCCTCATTAAGCATACAATTCACTTTGCGATGTGCGAATTTCCTACCTCCACCAACTATCTCCCAATTCAGGGGTGCGATAATGCCTACGACACTCAATCTCCCACCTGGCCATGTCGTCTTGATTTATACGTATTTTATCTATATTCCTACTATTCTATGCATACACGCTACATGTTCACACTAAGCATTGCAAGCTGCTTAGCAGAATCGTGCTCGCAGCTTCAAGAGGGTCAATTACAAGATGAGCGTTTTATATCATAATCCGCTTCTTCTCGTTCGGTAAACTGCAAACTAACTTGTGGATACTGTGTAAGTAAGGCTTTCGATGCGTCAATAATACTTAAAAAAGGCTTTCATTCATGTGCGCACAGTATTTCACATTGACAATTATAATTCCTAATATGTGTAAGCCTATTGACTGGCAACAACTGTTCATTCTCTTGCTGAGAGGGAAATGGCTATTTTACTGTTATCATCAAACCACACACTCTCTCTCTCCCTCTCTCCCTGCTTAATACCTATCGCATAGCATGTTCCAGGCTATGACGGTGATGAGGGAATACGCGGTTATCGCTAGATACCAACAGACAGATTATCTATATCCTATCATGCGCAGCTGTTGTATTCAAGCCGATATCCACGCATACGTACGTGTCACGGATTCATTAGTTGTTAATACCCTTTCCTCCGGGGAGACGATGACGATGAATATTAAGGAGATGTGGTTTACACTCATCGCGTTTCCTCCACCCCCTCCCCCTCTCTCACCTCTTTAAGACCTCAGAAACCACTTTCTAGTTAATAAAAACCCATTCATCCGTATTTGACTTAGACAAACAACTGTTGTGGTGGCTCGGTCTTCGGAATTTGTCACACTCCTGGTACCTTAGCAACTGACGCTGCCGACCGGTTGCCTTATCAAGCATTGCTCAATGCAATCGTGATTATGGGGGGGGGGATTCCAAAATCTCTTTGAAGGTAGTCCTTTCAGGGTGGAAAGGTGGGAAACACCCCCCTCCCCCCCTTTATACCTTTAAGTTTATGTGGTGACGGAGGTTAATTGACTAAAGCTATTTGTCCCATATGAGGTATTTGTAATTTTTGGACAAAATTCATGATTGCACCAATACAAACATTATCAAAACACCTATATATTAGGTAGGAGGTAGATATGTAAAAATCTACAGCTAATTCTCAATAAATCAACTTTAATTGACCATTGACATTTGTGGGTGGGGTTAGAATTAATATTATTTCATTTCGATGGCAGTATATTGAACTGAATTCATAAATAAGCGCTTTTGATTACATGTTACTCCCCTCCCCCTCCCTTCTGTATTTAAAGCTTTCCGCGTTGGAGGCATTTTTGATATACAGGTTCAACTAAAGCTCATCAATTTGGAAACTACAAAATATACCATTATTCGCACTTTATGACTTTCCTTCAAAGATCTTCAAGTCCAACAGTAATATGGTCTAATAAGAAGCGAAAGTGAGATTATTGAAGAGTGGGCGAGAATATCAATGCATTGCCTCATTTTTTACTTGGATTCAGATGGTTTATTTCTTACTTAACCGGCATAGTCATTTGTCCGAGTTTGGACTCGGCCAGTTCATATCCGCCATGTCTAGGGTCTTGAATGCGAGTTATTTGATTTTGGTGAGTTTCTATCTTATTTTAAGAAATGTTCATGAATCCTTATTGCCGATATTCCAGAAAGAAATCAGCCGACAACTCAGTGGGGTTTACTCAAGGTGTAATATCTGTTTTGTCGTCGTTCATTCATCAGATTAATTGTAGCGCTTTCATAATGAAAAGAAAACTAGAAGTTAATAATCATTCATGGAGAAATTCTTTAACACAGAAACTATTAAAAATTCGAAAGTACTTTATTTCGAGAGCATTAGAGATTATCTCTAGAACTGTATTGATTTTGATCTTTGATAAAGGATAATTCGTTCCTGACAGCTAATTTCTACTACTCGTTAAATGTCTCAAAGATTTTCAGATTTTCATACTTCGTCTCCAATTAGTCCATTCTGTGGCCAAATAAGACGTCAAGTCTTGTTTATCTACCGTCATCCCATTTAGCAATAATGTAATAGATTTTTCATTAGTACTGTCAGTGATTTAGGACTTATTTACGGGAAATAGGGTAGCAGTTTCTTAAATCCGTTTGGTCTCGTCCACCTGTGTCCTTAAAATCAGACGCCTTAGGCATGGCATTGGCAGTTACATATCATCATTATCTTTAAATGAATTGACCCCCCCCCCCCTCCCTCCTTGCGCGTATGCTAGGTGTACATCATGCAATCTAGCACGTGCAAAGCGCACGGACAAGGATGCGCATTCGCACGCCAACTGTCGCGGACATAACATGATTAACCAATTATTGATAAGGAGGAAATCAAGTTAATTCGCCTGACGTGAACGTGTGCACATGCGCGGTGGTTGGTGATTGGTGCGAATAGAGTAGACCGTATCTTTTATGTTTGGTGTCCGAAGAGCAGATTTGCAAATTGTCCTCTATGTTTCATTTTTAATTACGCCGTTCTCTTGACGAGTGCTGCACTCTAATTTCTCGTAAGTCATCATCTTTCATACTAATATGATAATTTGATTTTCCCCTGCTCTACTAAAAGCGTCCAACTATATCGGGTGCTTTGGTGCATTTTCTCTTTACATATTTTCCCTGAGACTTTGATACTAGAATAACATACTTAACACACCTCTTAGCAGAAGCTTAATTTTAATCAAACGCCATGATTAATGCATAATTAATTTCATATTTTCTATGCTTTATAAGTTTTACTGAATTTCCTTCATCAAAATAGGGCATAACTCGTGTTTGTACCTTTGACGTATATTCGTTCTTACAAATATAGGCTATTTATCAAAATTTTGATTTTTTATATTGAGTTTAGAGGTTGGAATTACTTTACCCCTCAGGTTCTTTGAAAAGGGGCATATTTCATAGCCCAACTGAGATTTGGATTGCCTTAGACTCAAAAAATTGCATTCTACCAATCAACTGGATATACACATCTGTCCAGGTCTTTAATAACTTATCTGAGGAGGAAATTTCATACTTCTCTAGACTTATCGTCACTAAAAGTAAACTCAAATTAGTGATCTTCTCGGGATCAATAATATCAATTTAACCCTTTTTATCTTCAAATATAAGGGCAAAAATGTTTTGTAATTATTTAATCATGGGAAAAGGATAGATTTTTAGAAGGGAATAGGGGCAGTCGAAACAAGGTTGACCTAGCTTACCAAGTCTTTTCGTCATATTCTTCATAAGTAAAAGGCTCATTCACAATAGTACGTCATGACTAACTTGGATCCTATATGAATAATATTTTTACTCAGGCGGGTTTCTGAGTGCTTCTCAAAACTACGATTCCATTACTTTCCCTTCATCAGTAGGCTATTTGCTCCTAGAAAATGCTTGAATGTTCTACTATATAGGGTTTAATCATCTTAGCTTTGGGAAATTGCAGCATATTCACCCCTCTCTGCAGAGCAAATCCTGGTATGATGCTAAATTCATGTTTTAATACGGCCTTATATCCAGCGCATTAGGATATTGATAGAAAGAGTAGTAATATTTAATGCCCAAGAGCCCAGGTGATAGAGATATGGACTAACGGATTAGCAGTAAAGATCAGTAAGGCCGGATGGGAGAGTTTAATGACTTTATAGTGTAAGGGCAAGATGGTCCCCTCCACTTCTCATCCACTCCCCGTTTAGGCGCGTGGGTATATCTATATATACACGCACATAACTTAGTTGCTGAGGTAACCGCCTCTAATGGCATACCGGTACTAATCTAGGAAATTTTCTCCCAAATAGCTCGATAGACCCCGTAATGATAAGCATAAGTTAAGTGTGTGTGGGGGGGGGTTACTATCCGATAAATTCCCCTTTCTCTTACACGCATTAAAACATTCATTCTACGAGTAGGAAATGCCTGTGCAAGGTATAATTAAAAGCGTCTTCCGATTAGTGGCTAGGAGTTAAAACAAGAGTATAAAACTGACAAGCTTAAGTGATGCGGATTGAAAAGAAATGTCTGAGACAGGCAAATAGAAGTGTGGTGTAAATTCAGGCGATCATCTGGAGTCTTCAAGTTGTTACCAAGGCGGTAATATTCGTGATGCTCAGAATCTATCGACGGAATTGAGAGGTAGGTCATGCCATTTAAACACTTTTCGTCCCCTCGAAAAAGTCTACAAAAGTTCATCCTTAATACTCTCGTCATATTCAGCTGAAAGGTCTATTTTTGGCAAACCATACTTGAATCAAAAAGTGGAATTTCGTTCTTGACTCAATTTCTTACAAATCTACTTATTCCACTTTTATCAGTATTATTAGGGCATAGGCAAATGTTCTCAGCGAATTAACAGAAATTCATTTTTTTTCTATCAACACTGCTAAGACATTTATCAGTGCATTGCTATTGCCCAGAAACTTCCTAATATCTCCCTTTATCTGTCCCCAAATTATCTTGTTAATATCCCCAACCGTGGAAATTAATTAAGCCGTAAAATTGAGGTCACCAGCAAGTAAATGCATTTATAAGAACCTTGACCTGACATGAGATATTAGTTTGCAGCAGAAGAGATAAGGAGGAGGAGGAGGAGAATTATCAGTTAAAGGTGCACATTTAGTGATTGCTGCGTATACCCTATCCATCTCTGACCCCGTTTTTTTTCATTTACCTCATTTATGTGTGAAATTTTTATGTGTGAGGCGCTCATCGCACAGTCTCGTCTAAATTGAGGTCAAATCATGCCAATAAAAACGCTCCAGCCACTAGCAAGTAACGGCCTGATATCGCCCGATGCTGCTTATATGTATTAAGTAAAATCTACAACACCCTCCCCCCCCCCCCCCCCCCCTACCCTCCTACCCCCCACCACCACCGCCTCCACCCCTACGGTCTTGGAAATTACGCAGTAAACTGCGCATTCATATCAAAAATCCGCAAAATCAAAGGAATGAATGAATGTGAGATATCAACTAGATAATGCGCGGCAGTGAACTTGCTAAACGTAAGTTTAGACGCCAGTATGTGTGAAGCGAAAGTAGATTGCCTTCCCGCGGTTGTTTGATGCAGATTAACGGGAGTTGTGAGCTGCCTCACTCACCTCTCAATCCAACCTCCAAGTTGTTTACTTCATTAAATACAATCAATCAACAAATCACTGTTGTCATGAGGATCTGAATTCTCTTAACTGAAAAAGTTTCCACACTGAATTAACGATGGTTTGTGCAGTTAGCGTACTGTTACCACATTTTAATCCTCAGCTATAAGTGTGAACCGTTATTTGAATTGTAAGGGAAGCTTCGGTAGGGTGAAAACTCAATCCACCCATTTTATCTATACATTTATCTATATATTTAATATTTTAAGTCGACTACGAATCTCACCCTTAAGTTCTAATTTGCACAATAATCACGATCATGCATTTCTCAATAGAAAATTGGCATTTAGCATTCGATACTGCTAAAGATGCCAAATGGACTTATATCTATTTAAGGGGTAACTATTTTTTCTTCTCTCTTGAAGTAATGGCCGGATCACCAATTCGAGCACCTCTAACCAACCTTATATTCCCCCAGTCTGAAGAGAAGATGATGACAGGCAATACCGGTTCACCAATCTCTGGTATGCAATCGCGATCACCGACATATTCTCGTTTTCCTGAAGGCCCATATTTCAATGAGAATACCCCATCTTCACCCCCGATGAAGAAAAGGTGTCTAGATGTTACGACAGAACAGGAACACCTTCCACAGCAGCAACAACACCAATCAACTGCTTCTAGTACTGGAGAAACAACAGGAACTACGCAACAAATTCATGATTGTAGCAGTGATTCTTTACAGACCAGCTCAACAAGTCTATCACCTAAAGTTGTAAGTGTGTTAATTAATGATTTTTGGCACTAAATATGTTCACCTTTGTATCATTATGAATCTCAGCCTGATAGTACCCTGAAATATGCCGATTGTGCATTTGTCGAGCTGTTCCATTCTTTGACATGAACCTCACTTAGCCTGATCAAGATGGCTTGTTCTTTGCTGACCAAATAGTCATAGTGTTCATCATGGTAGGTTCTAAGTACTTTTAAGTTGCGAAAAGTGCTGTTATTCATTCGGGTTAAAAGAAACGTTAATTGGAAGTATAATATAAATTCAGTGAAAGTTTTTAGGACATCTGTACTATGGAGGTACAATATCAATAGCATTTTTCGAAAAAATAAATATAAACTTCTGCATTAAGGGAATGCATTGATGGATGACACTGTGGGGAAGAAAAATTAACCGACATGGAGACATCAGATTCGTCCCCCCGCATTCCTCCACATGGTGGCAGATCTTTCCCTTTTTAAGTATAGATTTCAGAACTTCCGAATCTCCTATTTATTCACAGTATTTTGAACAACTAATTAACATATTTCTTGGTAAATTTGAAGTATAGTTTTATGCTTCAAATACGTAAAATAAGAAGAAAGGGGATTCTAGGGGCAATTTTCTTGGCAAAGGAAATGTCATCAGAATTTGTGGTCGTGACTTGACTAATGTGGAAGTAAGTTTAAAATTCCCATGAAACGTATAATGAGTCACTAAAACCATTGTAGACAATGTTAATCCCAGATATGAAAAAGTTGGTGCAGACATTTATGGACGAAGTGTGAGCACATGTTAGATAGTAAATGTATTTTGCGATTAGATTTTGGCAGTGGGCCCTGGAAGACAAATATCCAAAAAAACTGCTACAGAACATGGAAGGATTCCGGAAGAGAGAACATTTTCTCCTCCTAGTTGCTGCATTCGAAGATAGCTGAAGTGGATAATCTTTAGGCCGCTTGATCACCGAAAAAACAGATATTGAATAGGTTGAGCAATTAATCCATTTGTTAAAATTATAAAAAAGACAGTTTAGTAACTCTGCTTAATAAATGTAGGCATAATTTGAAGTTCAGTACAAAGATCAGTTTTTGATCTATGGGATTTGACTTCTATTAATACCAACTTGGGTTTATTATCAATTGCAGTGGATTCCCTCTAGTTAAACGGAATTTCTACCTGGGTTGATAATCTGTTTCTCCAACGCAAGGTTATAAAAAGTTCTCGCAACAAATTTAGCAGTATTCTAGGAAGAAAGTAATGGCATAATCAATCTTGATTCACCCCTTAATTAACGCAAAACCATTATAAGCCAACATCCCTTGAAATAACAACAACTTGATGACTTGTTTGTAATTCATGCCTCTTTTTTCGCATGCGCTAATGAACGAATGTTGACGAATTAACTTGCCAGAAGACAAATCTATAATGCTTGTGCATGCGCGCATGCGCCTCCTGATTGATACTTAAGAAACAGTTGTGTGTGTGTGCGTATATGCGCTTTCTGGCAGTAGTATGCGGAAATATATAAACCATATGTCCATTAATGAAAATCCCCTTTCCACTGCTCCAACACTGTACAGAAGCAGCAAAAGAATGTTAACAACTGTTATATATGCGCGCGCGCACACACATACACACCTCCATGTAACGTTGTGCGATAGAATCAGTCCCAGCATGGTTTGCCTGATTGATGGCAAAACCACGAACACAGTTGCTTGTACCTATCAGTGTGCCTACCCAATTAACAGATCCACTCCCCCCCACCCCACCCCACCCTATTATTACAGTCACACCACCACCACCACTCTCCCCTTCCCATCCGCGCCATGGTTACCGCTGGAGAAACTAGTTTAGGTCAGTGATTTAATCTGACAGCTTTGCTAATTGAACAAGCAAAACAATCAAGGCAAGAATATGGCTGGTGTAATCAAGGCTGAATAATTAACTCTTGATTTAAAGCACGGGATACACCTCATTGAAAATTTTAATGACAAAGTACTTCAAATGCATTTGATAGATGAATTATCTTAGTTACCCGGACACATGATTACGATAGAGATAACTAACTTACTGAATAGATGACACAGTTCAACAATCTGTATCCACGCATATTCTATAGATTAAAATACTGACAGAGATGACTGCGACAACTATATGTATGCAGGCGTCAACAGGTGCTCGGTGGAAGTTAGTCTTGGATACCGCTTTCCATGCGTGGGTAAAGGGAACTAGGATCATAGCATTATCGACCCTATATAAATAGTTTCAAAACCAAGTAATTGGACAAAAGTGAAAAGAAACTCTTTTCCCTCAGCCTTCTCACAATCTCAGTTGAAAACTTTCTATACTGTATGAGCAATGATAATCGTGCTTCTTTTTTTAGGAACAAGGAACTCGACAACCTCAAAATCAGAATGGTGATGAAAAAGAGTCAAAGCAAGAAGACACCGATACGTCTAAGGACATGCTACAGCAGAATCCAATGTCCCTCTGGGGGAACATTCTTCCTGATTCAGCTTATCCACGGATCTCCCTGTTCCCTAAGAATTTTCCACCAATGTTTCCACCAGGGTGCACAGCTACTGGTACTCAGGGGATACCGACAATCACTCCTACATCACAGGGAGAACCCGTGTCTTTAGGAACCTCAGCTTTGGCAGCTGCAGCCGCTATGGCAATGAGTCCCTTATTTCAAAACGCACCTGGTGGTCCCGGAAGTACTGCCTCACCCTGGAATCCAATGCTTGCTGCCGCAGCCGCTGCATTTGCAAATGGACGCTTTCCAATACCAGGACTTCCTTCAAGACCCCATGGAGATGGCGAATGTTTTGGGGATAAAGATGGAGACTTATCACCAAGGTCCGGTAGTCCATCGCCACTTTCAGGAGTCGGTTCCTCTGTAGAATGTGTTGAAGCCCTGCCAGATTCCAATCAAGCTGGACATCATTGGACATTCCAAGAACAATTTAAACAGGTAACTGCAGCTCTCAACTAACACCCATTACAAAAAGGGGGCTTTGTAAAGCACTTTCTCTCAATGGGCTTAGAAATTGCCCTATAATCGTCATTAAGGGAGTAAATAATTAGCATTTGGAATGGGGAAGAATCAAACGCTCCCTCAGGATTGATCATTCCCTCCCTCTTACGGACAGTTTAGCATTCAGCCGATAAATTATGTAGATTGTGAGTGTCTCCTAAGTAAGTAAGATACTGGCAAAAAAAATACTGCCATACGGATGAATGCATTTAAGTCAATCTCTCCTGGGACAACAACTAAGTCGTGAGGATATATCTATGGGAAGAGTGATAATTTTCAACTTAGAGTTGGTGGTGGTGGAAGTGGAAGTGGTGGTGGAGATGTAATCCTATTTAACCTATAAAAAATTCAACAGCATTCCATGCTTCAGTAAATCTTGAACATCGCACTATTATATGCACAGCGTTTAGTCTCTTTAAAGACAAATTCCTAGATTTGAATGGGGATTAATTATTAGGCTGATGAGGGAATGAGTACTGCTGCCGTTCCGTGCTCACTCTGACTTCAATTAAGGCATGGACAAATCAATTTCTTCTCACACATGCATATATATCTTCCGAAATCCCTTGAGGTTAATGGGAGATACATAATTTAGTAAGGATGAAAATGTGCAGCTACGTACCTCCTTCTTCTGGCAAGAGATTGGAGTGGGGGGATTGTTTTCTCACTTGACTTAATTGAATTTTGGATAGAATTAATTTTTCCTAGGGAGTAGGGGAGGTATCGACTCCTCACGCGCTATCCCTTGGGGTTAACGCGGGGGGAACGCGTGTATGCGATTGAAATATTCATCCAGTTCTCTGTCCTTTCCCCCAATAATCTCAAAATCAATCATTAGGAGGTGGTGGTGGGGGGAGGGGGAGGGGAAGGGGAGGGGGGGACTTTTTGTAACTGACGGATTTGTTTAATTAACTTGTAGTCGCAGTAAACAGTTGCACCCATTAAGTTGCATGAAGTCATGAAGGCGCAAAACACGCGAATGTATTGCAGACCTAATAAATCACTATAAACCAGCCAATTCATTAACCACAAAACCAAAAGTGCCGAAGGCCAAAACCATTCATTATTTGTGGCTTCTTCTTTTCATATATTTAATACAATTTTGAAATTAATGTCACAAATTATGGGTTAGAGCACAGACACTAATGCATACTGAGACCTACTAATTGTAACGATTAGGCATTAAGCTTAAATCAAGTCACTCTAGGATGAAAAGGACTTACTGGCATATCAGGTCCCCTATCTCTATATATCGATACTACCCTGTACACAAGAAATGAATGATCTACCTGGGGTATGAAAGGAAGTGAAGTTTGCTGAGAATACCCACAGGCTGTCCTATAAAAGGTTCTGGTTAATTAAGGATGTAGTAAGCCTATTCGCATGCTTAACTTGAATCCCCCCCCCCACATTTTTATAAGGCGTCCACTATTAAGATTATAGTGGCACTTAAAGGAATTGGTAAAATGGATATTCAACATAAGGATAAGCTCAATGAGAGCTGAAAGTGAGATACACTTAGAGATTTGATGAAATGTGAGACCAGTAAAAGTGTCTAAATGCCCTAAAAGAGTAAATATTACTTTGTACCTTCTTCAATGTGCACTCTTCCATTTCCATAAAAGAACTTTGAAGAATTTATTTGGATGCCAAATTCCATGTCTATTGCAGAAGAAGCCATAGAAACAGCAAGTTTACAAAGTCACGTTATGCACCGTTTATGCGGACAGCCTATGTCATTAATTTTCCCAATTAACTGTAAAAATTTTCCTCCCTTTTAGCTCTACGAATTATCTCCGGACCCAAAAAGAAAGGAGTTCCTGGACGATCTTTTCAATTTTATGCAAAAACGAGGTGCGTTCTTCATGTGTTTTCTATCTTCGTAGTCACTTTTCACCATTTTAACAAAGAATACTCCATGCCATGTCCGATTTCCTAATTAACAATCTGCAACATATTTTGTTTTCACATTCCAACACAGCTGATGTATAATGAGGAATCTAGACAGGCTTTGTACAAAGTTCACAAGGTTTTTGTGAAAATTCACTAACCCAAGTCGAATTAATGCTAATCGTGTCACAACTTGTATGGCAGGCTAATCTTACAAGCCCCCCCCCCCAACCTCGCCACACCCATCCACTTCCAAGATGCTAATTAACATTATTAAAAAGAGTTGAAAAGGTCATAATTTCCTTTTCCCTTTACATAGGTTCACCGGTGAATCGCATTCCAATTATGGCAAAACAGGTCTTGGATCTCTATGAGCTCTACCGTCTTGTGGTGACAAGAGGAGGCCTAGTTGAAGTGATCAATAAGAAACTCTGGAGAGAAATTACAAAAGGTCTTCAGTTGCCCTCCTCCATCACCAGCGCTGCTTTTACCTTAAGAACACAGTGAGTACTATTTATTCACTCATTTGACAAATGTGGGCAAACAAAGAATTTATTTTTTTTATTTAAGAGGATACGAAGAGTTCCCACTTCTAGTTACATTGTAACTTTCAATTGAAGAAGGGTATATTGGAGAAACACTCTCGAGAAAATCACATTATGTCTGACCTGATTGATTCACATCGATTTCATGACGTCTCTGATTTGGTTGACGTACAGGTAGATAGCTAACTCACTTATCCCCACTTGAGCTCAAAATTGTTCAGTCAACAGCTGTGAAACGAAGAAACCCATCGGCATCACTTCGCAAGCCCGCTATCGTTGCCTTTCTAATGGCTAATTAGAGTCTATTTTAAACAGAAAGTGTGAGTGAAATGGGGTGTATAGAATCGTCTTTGACTCAGCCTTTCACCATAATATTCACATCTCCTTTTCGGATACTTCGAACACATTCCATGGGTTTATAAGCTTTAAGCTATGACAGTTGTTGCGGTCGTGTCAAAAAATCGGGATTTGTGTATATGTAGCGGTAGGGCAACTAAATGAATTTAGGAAAATTATTTCTCCTCCTCATCACCCCTAATATATATATATATATCTCTCTCTCTCTATCTCCCCACATCCCCTTCCTCCATCTCCACAACCTAGATACAAGGGGCAGAGTGGCTAAGTTGGAGAGGGGTGATTTTAGAAAGCAATAAATGCGAATGTGGGGACGGAAAATCCATCCGCAGTGAAAGATGATCTAACCGGGTTATAGATTGAACTCCTATATGTAATTGAGATATGTGAAGTGTAATCTGAAATTGGCAGTTGCTGTGTACAGTACCGATACTACAAATATTACCGAATAGTAAATGCCATTCGTAGGGGTTTAATTAAATTAAGGCATTTTTTCCCGAAGTGCACTTCTTCTTAAATGGGCATGCATTTACACTCAAACTGAGATTCTTTTAATGAAGTAGTTATTTGAACACTTATTCGTTTAGCCATTCCATTTAATTGATAAATGAAATGGCCAATAGTAAGAAAGTAGAAACGCGAACATTTTTCAAATTCGTTCTAAATTATTTTACTCGTAATTAAATGTACGATGAAGCATTCGAAGAAAATTTGCTTTAATATTTTATGGTAATTGCTTAGTAAAATATAATGATTTGCCACTTCGATAAATGAAACCCTTTAAACGAACATGAAATAATTGGGTTTTTGTATTAGTTGATATCCCTTTACTATGATAAGCACTATATCAAATTGGAGTTTAGTAAATTACCTCAAATTGATGGGGAGGAAATCGTTAAATTCAAAACTATGATTTGAAAAACTAACAGCTAGATGGAGGTAGCGTGTAATGGAATTTTGGCTGACAAACTAGAATTGATGTTGGTGTTTGTAAATAACGATTCAAGGGACACCTATTACAACGGAACTTTTGCTTTATCAGGTGAGTCATTATGGGGGTATAAATAGGGATCGCAACAGGTATCATTATCAGCATCATCATCATTGGTGACAGAACCAACGGTAGCTGTGGTTGTAGTGATTGGAGAGGGTGGGGTGAGGGAGGTGTAAAAAGGGAGGGATAAATTTTGCCCAAACAGCTGTGGTCTACACAGCTGTTGTGTAGCAACACATTAAATCCAATTATATTACTAACCACATCTAAGAGAAGTGGGACTGACTCATTAACACAAACAACTGTATATGTATTATTAAATCCCATCAGGTACATGAAATACCTCTACCCCTACGAGTGCGAGAAATTGAACCTCAGCACTCCAAATGAACTTCAAGCCGCTATTGATGGGAACCGAAGGGAGGCGAGAAGATCCTCGTATAGCTTCGATTACCCAATGCTCATGGGTCCATGCTCGAGTGCAGGAACAACCCCAAATTCAGCAGGACAGCCGATACCGAGTAACCCTCTTGGAACCGCATTTCCTCAATCACATCTCTCCCATCATTCCCTGCTCAATCCTGGTCAACCTCTTCTGGCCCCACCATGTTCTGTCGCTCAGGCTTCTATGTTGCCTCCTGGTCTCCTCCTACCTCCAGGTTTTTCTTCCCAAAATGCTAGTAGAAACGGTAATATTCTTGGGGAAAATCCCTTTTTTGGTTTCCCTGGAATGAGTGTTTCAACACCAAACCCCAATGCCCTAGTAATTCCTACTTCCCTTCCGTCTAATTCAAGTGCATTAGATTCAAAGACTTACCTTGAAAACGATCAATTAATGGTAAATCTAGATTTCTTAAACTTTTTCATTTGGTGGGAAGTTTTGAAGCTCACGTTGTATCATTCATTTCTAGAAGCAAAAGCAGGCCAAAGGCCTCCAAAGAAGTATGTCTTCTCTGCCATCCACAATGATGACAAATGACGTGACATCAAATTCTCGACCGAACTCCAAATCCAATTACTCCTCTCCGGCAACTCTGGAAACTGGCCTCACTTCAGAAGGTATTTACTTTCCTTCTTATTAAACAAGGTGGTGATGACAACAGATAATTTACTAACGATTTTAACTTAAAGGAAACCAACAAAAGAAACCTATTAATTTCGAAATGGATCAACGGCAATCCCAGCAACGATCATCATCACCTCATCTAAAAGAAGCTATGGATTCCAATGAAGGAACTCATGAGACTACGTCGGCACGTTTCTCGGAGTTTTTGAAACAACGCATGCCGTCTAATGAGGCCGAAGAGACGCAAGGTCTTAACTTTGCAATGGGCGACATTATGCAGGTTGGATTTTGTGATTTAATAAATTCAATACTACTTATTAATTTCAGTAAAGTTCTACAACTTTTAAATATAAGGTGGGAGTTTTGATTAAAATTTATTAAGTAGCTCACCTGAAAACTCAGTAGTGTATTGCAAGTTATAGCACCTAATGAGGATATATAACAAAAGGAATGATTAACAAGCAATAATTACATAGATTTTCCAAATTTTTCCTTCAACTCTGACGGTCTAATAAAATTGGTGACTTTTATTTTATTTTCTAAATTGGTCCAAATTGTTAATGGATAGGCTTTATCAGATGTTGGTTTCAAATAAAATTTCTTCCAACTGGTCCTCTCGAAGCGGGATCAATTTCATTATGGCCATGCCCTGTGTACTTTATGTCCAGTTTCATCAGATTTAGGTTAAGGTCATTTGGTATTTACGAATTCATCTACTCGAAATTATTTTGTAAATTTGAATACGTCAGAGTGGAGTATAATCTTAGAAAGTATTTTCATGCAGGCAGGAATGCCATATTGTCTGTTTTTCAACGTTTTGTTCTATACTTAAATCACATCGCTTTCTTGTTGGTGAAAAATCACACATTATGGCTTTAAGTCAAAATTCTTAACACAAACTTGATTACTTGACAGGATAACAAAAAGAATATACCTTGCATATACACAATTTCATGAAGTTCAGGTTTTTTAAACTACAAGGCATCATTTGACGCCTTTTGGCTGACTGCCAATAAATGCACACAACCGCAATTAAGGTCATCCCAAATACACGAGCATATTAAGTAGTTGAAGGTAAAAATAACGTCAAATTCCTAACAATCGAGAAATGCCAATGTGCTAAATGCTGAATGCCCCTTAACTGACTCTAATTTCCCCTATTTTAGAATGCCTGTCACATCATAAACATGTCAACACCAAAATCGCAATCTTCTTCTGACAAGAGAGGCGCTATGAGTGAATTCGCAGATGACAGACGAATAGGGAAAATGAATGCGCCGATTCAGGAGAACGGCGACTTCTCCAATTGCAATATGCAATCTGCTTCCAGCATGCGTATCAGTACGCAAACAGGTAGGCCCACTCAACTAATCTAGTGGTATATATTTTATCGATTCACCACCACAATTAAGTCCATTGAACTGTGTTAAAAAAGTAAATATGTCGATTTGTCGCCAATGCGCCTAAATCAGCTTTAAGCTTAACACGAACTCTAGTATATACAAAAAATCAATTTCCGCATTTTGTTCGCGCCTAACCCACTTAAATTTAATTAAAGACGAGAAATAGACCGAAGCTTCCTTGATTTTTTCGGCTACCCACCACTGATTTTCGTGTTGCTTTTTGTAGGAAGCCAACTTGGTTTGCCGGATAATACACTAGTTGTCTGTATGGAAATCGCCGGAGTGGTCTACCAAGGTGTTCTCTTTGGCCAAATCAAGACAACCGCATAGATGCAATAAACTCCAATCTGCTCACTTCAAGCCTCTATTGATGCGCAAACCCCTCTATTTGTACAAATTAATTCAATCACCTCTACCATTGGCTTCTTCTCTCTCTTTTTTTCACTCCACATATGCATTTCTCTCTTGCTCTCTTTCACTCTACCTTTCGCATTTAGCAACTATGTCAACGACAGCAATAACAAACAAACTGTTTCCGGGCTAAATCTGCAAAAAAATCCGTTAACGTTTGTCCTTATTTACCGAGAGGCTTGCTTTCTATTACCGGATTTTGTGATTCATTAAATAGTTGTGGATTTTTTTTTCGGTAAAGATGATAAATGCTTTTCAAAATGTGGGCTAGTCATCACACTAATTAACCCATATATATGCTTTAAATGAACGAATGTTCAAAGAATATTAATTCCACGATGGACGTGTTCATATTGCAAATTGTAGAGCTAGCCCATCTTAGGCAGCGTAACCAGCGCGTGCGCTAAAGTTACATTGAAGAGGTCCCTATTCCGCAAATCTGGTAAGATAATACTCTATTTCCTACCATTAGTAGCATTGTATCTTTGAGTACTTCTCTAACTTTAAAATTAACTTGGAGATTTTAATGGAAGTAAGATCACTGCTCCACGGAAAATTCCATCATCAGAAAAATATGAAATTCGAATAGGACTGCTGCAATGTAGGATTTTGAAGTACACCTCCACACAACCCCCTTCCCTTAACCCGTTTGGGAGTTTCTTTAGACAAGTCGTATTTAGAAACGTCCTACAATAAAATGAGATGATTTTTGCCTTATTGTAAGAGTAATAACGGTATAACTACAAAGTGAATGAATGTATGCTCAAATATATTTATGGAGTTAAGCGCAGATCCCAAAGAGAAGATACAATTTCGAGATTGAGGTGTAAGACGAGAGCGATCATAACAAGAGAGAGGCATGAAGGCTCACGGCTGCAAATTCAGCTAGTGGAGAATAGATAAAGTTACGACAGACTGGGGGGCGGGGGCGGGGGCGGGGAGAACCTGAAAGACAACGAATCGACTAGCTTTGTCGCCCACTTAGACACCACCACCGCTTCTATCAACTGGAATATAGGGGCGATTTAGGACGCTTTTCAAGGGGTGATGAGGTACAACTCCAGTCTTGAGTGAGCTTATAAACTAAAATAGGAAGAAAGAAATAATCGATTATTGAAGTAGGTTCAGCCATTGCTCCATCCACTGTAGAGGAGCATTTATGGGCAAAACTAATTTGGCAAAATATTTGAGAATAAAACAATTCGAAACAAGGAAACCGAGCCAAGTTTATAAAAGAATATCTTGTTTCTATCACTCGTTAAAAAACATACTCTGAAAAATTCATTTTTATCGATTTCGCCATTTCTGTCCAAATCAAGGTCCAAGAGGATGCTTGTCAAAGTCTCGTCAGTGATATTTTCACCCTTGGCCTAAATAGGAAAAAATAGCGCTTTTAATTACTTAAGCACAACAAAATCATAGTCAATTATTCATTCAAAAATAGACATTTCATCACCCGCGCCTAATTCAATTTTATGGTGTTTGATAATAGACAAAAGATGATCTAAAACTTGTATTCACAAATATTCCTCATTTCCTAAATCCCACAAACTATCAACATTGTCAATAATTTCCACTCCTTAAAAGGAGTCCTTGACGTCTTTCACACGATTACTGCTACCGTCCCGATCAAGAGGGCCGGTATTGTTGTACGTACACGCATTAACCAACTTTATGGATAATAGATGTCATCTGACATTAAAGGGAGTTCTAGTGTACATTTCCGATTCTCCCTTCATTTCATGCTATCTTCAAATTGACCACCAACCCACAGTAACCTCAAAGTAGACTAAATTCCTGTCTAGACGCCTTTTAGACCTCATTTTTGGATTTTAATACAACACCTTTCTCTGAAAATGTGCGTTGACAGGAATGTTCCAATGGCTACTCTCAGCCATCTCCTAATTGGTAGCTATCTTCATTGCAGGAAGGTCACTTTGAGATATAGTGAAAACTAGTCTGTGGCAGTTAATCATTAAAAAAAGTATTAATAAGAATATGGGGTGTGCGATAGACTTACCTCCACGGGCAAAGTATACTCATACGACAAAAAAGTCTATTGACTGGCAGTTGACTTCTCACTTCAAACTACCATCACCCCACTGTATGTCACATTCGACTACTTCACAGTACTCACCTCACCTTTTTCTACCTTTGCGTCTGTTTCTTTAACATTTTTGAATCACTCTTCCATCTC